TCACACAGTTTTTCATTTTCCATTTACACGATCCCCAGTTGGATCGATGGATTCGCACTGCTGATGACACCCAACCAAGTTGAAACAGCTGTCCAGTACTTTCTAGATGTTCATTTCACGCTTCATTTGCCGTATACATGATGAATTTTCCCTTTGAAATTGAATCAAATCCTCTATTACTCACACAATATATATATATATCCGTAGTTTGTGTTTACATGAAACGTATTGTTCATGATTTTCTAAGTTCAATCCCGATTCGAAATTGCTCAGTTTTTATGCGCTTTGTTTCCCGCTTTCTTTTTGGAATTCAAACTCATTTTGAATCACTCAGTTTCTTTAAACTCTGACAAATTCGATTTTATCCATGGACCCTCAAACTTAGTTGTCCTATGCGGTACTGGAGGCTGCTTGTCATTCAATCGGAGACTATATGCGCCGACTGCGTTTGGCCGTAACCACGGGCAACACAACTCATTTGCATGTGCACGGTTACCGAGCTCTATTAGAACTACTTCTTCAATATCGCTCAATCTCCCTGGGAGACTCAAATGATATACCGGTGATCAAAGCCATTCGATGCTCGGTGAAACACTCGGCCAGTATGGACTTTTGTGCGTAAGTGTCAGAACCATCCCTTCCATCACTCAGATCTTCATTAAAAACGGATTGGTAAGACAGGTATATACAACGGAATAAAAGTTGATCGACTGAGTCCCGGTCAACTCACTTTTAATAAAACTCGATATGTAAACTTCCTTCTGCTCTGAAAAAATTAACCAGTGTTCTGGGTGGTACTCCGGAATTCCCGAACGGTGCTGTTTTACGGCGCTCTATATTCCCGGTACCTATTATGTATTATAGCATTCTTCATGTGGTGAGCGTTCTTCAGAACTCCTGTGATTGGTTGTTTAAAAAGCACCCGCCAAATGATGAATGCAAAATGTAATTTCGTTGTATCGTGTATTTGAACGGGTTTATAATTGACTAGTCAAATCAAAGCACTTTACCTTGTGAGAACAAACTAAGTTTGCTTATCGGGATGGATTTGATTTGGAACTGAGTAATCACATTTTTTTTTCTAATTTTCTGAGCTCCGCATCACAGTTGACGAAATTCTCGACCGCTCAATTCTTGTTTCACGAACGCACACAAACGCATTCTTCAGTGGAATGCTTTACGTTTTCAGTCGTTAATTTTATAATCAGCCTTAGAACTTGTCCTCTTCTGTTCGAAACCATTCTCGCTTGATCGGGACATCTGTCACGCGTATCGGTCTGATAAACAGGGGAGTTGCATATGGCTTCGCTATAGTTATTACATTAGATGTTATCACCGGCTTCAAACAAGGAAAGTACCTTGAGTAGAAGATGACTTGAGGAACCTCACTTTGAGTCTTTAACTGAGACCAGGTATCCAGTTGGTCAGGTCACGTGCCATCTGGATGGGGTTCCCGGCCACGGTGTCCAATATATCACGTTGCCCAGTCAAACCAATACTCATGTATGTAGTTGTCCAGGAGCAGTTCATTCAATTCGTCATGAGTAGTTCGGAACCAGGGTTTCCTGGTCTAACTGCTGATAGGGGCAAAATGAATTAGCGGAAATCATGCTCCCTCACGCGTGTGTTTGTTCAAATCCCATCTTTTTGATTCGGGCAAACGGTTCCACGTCAAATAGTACGATAGCAAAATAGGGAACGATCCGTTTATACTAAAGCATTGCCAGTCGTGACACAAGTTCACGTCATGTTTACATGGTGCCAATCAGGTTAAAACCTCCCTGAAAGTACATCAAAAGCAATGCATCAGACCTCAAGCTTTCAACCAACAGACAATTAATTTATTTACAATAACTCATAACACCCCCACGGACCTTACATTAGTCCATTGATGTCGCCTGCAACCGTGATGCAATCGGCTCAGTACATATCAGTCTTCATTTGGACCAGTCAGTGACAAATCACTGCTTACATTTCGCTATGCCACGCCCACTAATCATCAGTCGAAACTTTGGGACCGAATTCATTCAGTCACAACCGTCCAGCAAATCAGACGTAAATGGCCTGTGCGAATAGGGGTTGGGTGGTGGTGTTGGTGGTGGTTGTAGCGGCAGTGGTGGACCGGAAACAATCGTCTTCAACATAGAGCTTCTCTTATGCTTGCTGATAGCGCAACTTTGTGTTCATTAGTAGAAACGGGTAATGTTATCTACAAGAATGACAAGATTCAAATGCTCCAGTTCGCCGGGGACGATTAAAATCAATCGTTGAAGCCTCCCACCCCTATTTTGTGTGATCAGATTGGTTAGTGTATTACCCTTACCTTACCTCATCCTTTTACCTTTTTCACTACATTTGTCACTATTGTCCGTATCTTCCTGCGGTCGCAATAAAATTCACCCCAGATATATTTCCTAAATTTTCTCTTCTTCTTTCGCAACTCTTCCGAGCACTTGAGAATAACAAACATTGGAATTCAGAGAATTAAACTTTTGACATGTTTCCTACTTGGGATCAACTTGAAATAGGATTTTGTTTATTTTATACTTGTCAATGGTCCAACCGGTTACTAACTAAGGAAAAAGATTGGCGGCTGAACAGTGTTTAGAGTACCATGGGCGACGAATTTATCTCAAGATATAAAAATCTCGATGAAAGAAATCGATCCATGTTTTACTCGTGGACGAGTACTGCCTATTTTCCCTCGTTGAAACTAGTACATTTTATTTGGGGATGGACAATGGAGAGCGGTTTGTTTGCTAACGTCTGAGCCGCATGCAGCCGGGTGATGTGTGAAATTCATTGAGGCATGGTGTCTAGTTCACCTATCAGATCATACGTCCGTCGAACGGGGTCAAACAACCATAGTACCTCATGCATCTCAATAACCAATCAAGCCAGCGGCTACTTGTCGGAGCTAGGAGGGTGTTGGTGCGGTTCATATGCCTCTTCTTGTTTGGTTTGGGAAGATGGTTGCTTGCCGCCTTCCTTAAAAGATCTTCCGGCGTGACTTGGACATCTGCGGAAGCTCTCTGAAATGAGAGTAATGAACGCTCGCTATCACCGACACTCGATTGCACCTCTCCCTGTCAAACACGCTCACAAAGAGGGAACATGACTATCGTGCGCGAACGTATATTGTAGCACGGAGAGAAGGGCAAAAAGCAAGG